GGGGAGAGGTACGGGAGGAGAGGGAAGGAGGGGGGAGAGGGAGATAGTGCCAAGGGGAGAGGGACAGGGGGAGAGGCACATTAGGAGAGGGAAGGAGGGACAGGGGGAGAGGGAACTGTGCCAAGGGGAGAGGGACAGGGGGACAGGGATGAGGGGCAAAGGAGAGAGGGCCTGGGGGCGAGAGAGACAGGGGCAGTGAGAGGCATATAAGGGGAAGTGAGAGAAGGACTTATAGTTTACACTTTTAGTATAATTTGTATGATTAGCATTTTTTGGTACTTTGTGCTTTTCATGGTGTTGCCTATTGAATGTATTATTGTTTGCAAAGTTTGCTCAGTGCTGCCCTTAATCTGATTGTTATTTTATCCAAGATTGAGGCTCCAATCACACTTGTGCAACTTCAAAATCGTGCAATTTTCATTGCAACTTTGGTGCAACTTTGGCTTTGGCCAGGGATGATTATTTGTGCTCTACAAAGTCGCACACAAGTCACACGTATATCACATGAAAGAAGGACCAAAGTAGTGCAGGAACTACTTTCAAGTTGCTGCGACTTTAAGTTGCACAGATATGAATGGTAATCATTGGGAAACATGGGGTGCGACTTGTCATGCAATCTTGGTCCCCAAAGTCGAATGACAAGTCGCACAAATGTGAATGGACTCTATGGGACAAGGAGAGGGGGGTAAGAAGAGAGAGAAAGAAATAGAGGGAGGGGCAGGAATAAAAGAAGATTAAAATGTGAGAGTAAAGACAGCAACAGATGAGGGAAAATACAACAAGAGACTGAAAGTGGGTTAAAGAGGAATCCGTTTCCTTGCAGTAAAATGCATTTGGTAGACGTCCCTCTCATTGCCATGTAGTAAGTTCACTCCTCTATCCTGCAGTATGGCAAGCTAATGGGCCAGCCTTGAAGAGAAATAATCGCAGCGTACATTTGCGCTGTGAGTGTATTAAACTTTTACTCAGCAACGGATTCCGTTTCAGGTTTATTGGCCCTTTAATAGTTCCTCGATGTAAACCTCAATTATTTACAATGTCCTTAAGCTGACCACATTTTATTACTGATTTTGGCAGCTGAACGCCAAGCCTTGGCACTGGAGGAGAGCCAGTTACATTCTGATTTAGCAACGACAATCCTGGAGCCAATATACTATTAATTAGAGGCTGAGCCATGCTGGATGAAGACAGAGTTGCTGAAACGTACATATGAGATGTGTGATGGCAGTAGCTGAGCGAACCTTCTGCTCCCTAACCGGTGCCAAATCCAGGCTGTGCAGGCACAAAGTCATATCTCTATCTAGTAAACGTCGACTTTCTCTATCAGGGTGACTGTAACAATGATGGGTCAATGTCAAGGGCACGTTGGCCCATGGAGGTGTCTCCACAGCACTTGTGGTTTTATCAGTGCCAAGGCAAAATCGGGGAATGTATGGAAATTTCCTGCTCACAAAAGCTCACAAGAGCACATGAAATAGAGATGGATGAGGACTAAACAGTTTCTTGCAAGTCCAACTGAATGTTAAACAGATCAGAAAAATACTTTGCAGGTGTATAAAAAGGGTGTGAAACAGGGGCAGACTGACCGTGGGCCCGGGGTCAGTAGCAGGCCCCATGAGATGCCCCTGGTACCTTTTTCATAGGCTTTTTTGAGTTTGCGTTTTGAGTTAGCACCATGACATGCTCAGGCACTGCCTCTGCCAGACCTGCCTGAACACACTGTAGATGGCACTCAGATGGTCTCAACTGGCTCCAGACCAGGGGCGGACTGACCATGTGGAAACTCGGGCACTGCCTGAGGGCCTGGGGTCAGTGGGGGGCCCCATGAGATGCTCCTAGTACCTTTTTTGTAGGCTTTTTTGAGTTTGGGCAAGGACACAGGGGCCCCATGATCCCCTATTGCCCAGGGGCCCCATGAGTTGTCAGTCCACCCCTGGTGTGAAAAGTCTTAGGCGACATGCACCCTGGAACTGACTTTGGACTTTACTTACAGCAGAAAGTAGTACTTGCCATTTAAATCAATAAACGTCCAAGCTCTAAAATGTGGCTAGTGTTTTTTTTTGGCAAAAATGTTCCTCTCCTGAACTTGATTCTTCGGCGTTCAGGAGAGGGACATTTAACTGACCCTAAACTCTGCTGCTCCTAAACTCTGGAAAAAGCTTGTGTGCATGGACACATAGGCATTGATTTACTAAAACCGAGAAGTGCAAATTCTGGAGCAACTCTGCATGGAAACCAATCAGCTTTCAGGTTTTATTGTCAAAGCTTAATTGAACAAGCTAAAGTTAGAAGCTGATTGGTTACCATGCACAGCTGCACCAGATTTTGCACTTTGCAAATTTAGTAAATCAACCCCATAGACTTTTACTGAGTTGAGTTCTGGGGCTTTGGCAAACAAAACGCCAAAGAGGCCTTACAGTTTTTCTTTAAAAAGTAGTCAGAGCCTGAATAGTACAGCCCATCCTTTGCCAGCATTTTGCACATAAGGATCCTTGTAAGCTCTCTCTGTGGTGGTCTTCCTGCAGAGGTTCAACATGTTCCCTGCTAAAACTAAACTACTGTACAGTTGTCCAATCAGCAGGAGCCTACAGCTTTGCTTATTGTAGAGCTGTAGGTCTGAGTTTATCAAATTTCAGCAGAAGGATGACTGCCTCCATACTGAGAGCAAGAATCTTGCTGGCAGGAGACACTCTTTCTACATAGACTTAGACCAACCTTTCTCAACCTTTATACTGCAGAAGAAACCTTGAAATAATTTTCAGGTCTTAATGAACACCTGCTAAAACTAATTCATTGGGGGGTCAGTGGACAAATGCCCCATACATTGGTGACCAGTGGTAAGAACACCACTTATGGTGGTGGTCACTGGGAAGGATGTCCCCATACAAGGTGGTCAGAATGCCACCCTTACAAACATCAAAAAAGATCATTGGTGTCATAAAGTTGCCTTTCCAAGTGGCATTGGTCCGGGAACTATGCAGGCACCATCAAATTGAAGGGTCAGTTAGCAACAGCTCAAGGGACTCCTAGCAAAGTATGAAGGAATATCAGGGTTCCACAAAACCCTGGTTGAGAATTGTTGACATAGACTTTGTGCAAACTCTTGTGTTGACACACATCTGAAGACGCTGTCTGATAGGTGCCTCTGGGGTTTTTCTTCTGGGAGTAGTGGTATCACTGGGATATTAGTACTCCCTTTGTTGATTTCTGGGTACCGCCCATCAATATTGAATGCAATCATAGAAGACAAAAGGTCTGCATGGAGACCAAGATGTTATCTACAAGCCTATGGTTTTGTAGCCATTTATGTCTGGATTCTAGAAATTGCCTAGATGTAGGTAAAATCTAAATTCAGCAATATTCCCTACCTCACCATCACTTTCATATAGATGGTCAGGTGTCCACATGCCTTTGGCCTTGTAGTGTTAAATCTGTAGAGCCTCCAAAAAAAAGATTAAAAAGAATGGTAGGGACCACACTCCCCACTTTTCTCTTTTGGTCCATACCATTTTTTTTAATCTTTGAAGGCTCTACAGATTTAACACTACAAGGCCAAAGGCGTGTGGACACCCAACCTTCATACTGCACCTAGATGAGCTTATTAGACACTCCATTCCAATGTCCTTGGTATTAACATGAAGTTGGGCCCCCTTTGTGGTTAAAACAGCTCCCACTACTTTGGGAAGGCTTTCTATAAAATCTTGGAGTGTGTCTGTGGCAATTTATGCACATTCAGCCAAAAGAGCAACTGTGAGGTCAGGTACAGACATTGGAGGACTTGGCTCTCAATCAACATTCTGAATTATGCCAAAGGTTGTTTATTAGGGTTGCAGACAGAGCTCTGTTGCCACTCGAGTTCCTATATGCCAAATTAATCTATGTCTTGATGGAGTTGGCTTTGTTCACAGGGGCATGCTGATAATAAAGCAAAAGACTTGGCCAAACTGTTGCCATAGAGTTGGTAATTAGCAATTGACAAAAATGTCTTTGTATGCTGCACTATTAACAGTACTCTGCACTGGAAACACCTGAACTCAATAATTTGGAGACATGCCCACATTCCTTTATTCAGTGATGGTAAGTTATGATGGTCAGGTGTCCACAAATGTTGGCCATATGGTGCATACCTATCCTGCAGACAGATAAATGTGTTGAACCAATGTGTGACACCTCAGCATTTTTCCCATAAAGCTCTGACGCTGAACACATTTAGTTGGTAGAGTCAGCCTTCTTCCAATTATTGTGGTACCCTATTCACAACATTAGGAAAAAAAAGTGTCCGGCTTGCCAGTCAATGACAATTACATTTGGAGAAAGAAATAGTGAGCTTGGTACAGTTGATGAATGGATTATGAATTTACAATATAGCCACAAATTGTGAAGACTCCCCCTTCATACCTACAAAAGCTTGTTGAACATCCCATTTCAAAGTTATGGACATTAATATGGACTTTATACTTACACTTACACCATTTTGCACCTACTACAACCTCCAGTCTTCTAGGAAAGCTTTCTACAGAACTTTGGAAAGTGTCTGTGGGAATTTGTGTCCATTTGGCCAAAAGAACATTTGTTAGGTCAAGTACTGATGATGGTTAAAAAAAACCCTCTCAGTCAATATTTTACTTCATCCTAAAAAGTGTTCATTAGTGTTGAGGGTTGAGGTCGTGGCTTTGTGAAGGCCATTCAAGGGTCTCAACTCATCAAACTATGCCTTTATGCATCTGGCTTTGCACATAGTAATGCTGGAATAGGAAAGGGTCTTACCACAAGGCCAGAAGCACACAGTTGTCTAGAATGTCTTTGTATAATATAGAATTCTCTTCACTGGAAACACCTGAACTCAATACTTTTGGTCATTTTGTGTGATGGTCAAGTGTTTGCAAACTTTTGGTGGTATACCTATCCTTACATGCTTAGGAAATAGGCAAGATGGCTTTAACCCATGTAACAATAATTACACGTGATGCTTACAAGTATCAAGCCATCTAAGTCAACCCCTAAATACAAATGTGATCATTTGATATTTTAAAAGCAAACAAGTTAAATTTACCTCCTTTCTTTTCCTCGACTTGACTGCTCTCCACTTTCTCCTGTTTGGGCTCCTCTTTTGCCGGAGCAGCGTCGGGACTAGCAGCAGGCACATTGGCTTGTTTGGACTCATCCTTTGCTTGGTTGGAGTCACCTCCCGAGCAGTTTTCACTTGTACCCTTCACGGTGCCGTCTGACTCCGCATGCTTCTCTTCCGTAGTGGACTTTTCTGTGTTTTTGGCTTCCTCTTCTGAACCCCCTTCTGGCTTTTTGCCTTCCGAAGAGTTATCGACCTTCTTCTTGTCCTCTTCAGACAAAGGTCCATCGCTGGTGGGTTCCTCTTTTTTGGGGGCCTCATTCTCTGTCTTTTCTGCTTCATCCTCTTTGTGGTTCTCCACTGGCTCTCCAGAAGTCTCATCTTTCTTGTCCCCCTTGAGCTTTTTCCGGATTATGTGTCCGCGGAAGCTGGCCTGGATTTTGGTAGCGGCTTTATGAGCTTTGTCCTCTGGTTTGTTTGCATCTTGTTCAATTTTTTGGTCAGCATCCTCGTTCTTCTCCACCTAGACAAAGAAAAGAAAAGTACTTTTAATTTGTTTTTATCACTGAATTTTTTACAACTATTTTATTTTTTAAGTACCGGCATCAGATAGTGTTTCTATGCGACCAAAGCAGTGTTGAGAAGTTAGGTTATGGGACTTAGGTGTGACAGACAGAGCTGATACAGAGCAGACATTTCTGTAGCTTTACACATTTGCATGAATAGGAACTACCTAAGCACTTTTGCAACATGTGATTGTATAACCTCCTTTAGACCTACCAATGACTCTCTAGCAGGGGCGGACTGACCATTTGGAAACTCAGGCACTGCCCGAGGGCCCGGGGTCAGTAGGGGGCCCCATGCGATGCCCCTGGTACCTTTTTCATAGGCTTTTTTTGAGTTTGGGCAAGGACACAGGGGCCCCATGATCCCCTATTGCCCGGGGGCCCCATGAGTTGTCAGTCCGCCCCTGCTCTCCAGTACAAGGTCCTTTCTGTTGAATATAAATGGAATGGATCCTTTAGGGAGGCTTTAACACTGCATGGTTGCTGGTAAATCTAATGGAGATTGCAGCGTATGTAGCCAGCGTTAGGTCTTGCACACACAGAAGAAGGATGTGGAAGAGCAGCCAATGTCTGTGTGCCCCCAGCTCTGGAACACTTTATTGAACAATCCTCCACCATCAGGCCATAATTTCTGCCAACAAACTGCAACGCCAAGAGAAGCAAACAGTTGGCCAAGAACTGGCGTATACCGGTCATCATTTCAAATACTCTCTTTAAGGCCTAGCATCAGATGGAGGCCTGTCCAGACTGTTTTGGGCCAAATGTTGTCCGATCCCTTTGACACCTGAGCACAGAGTCTCATATAACTCCCAACTGCCCACTCATTTAGAAAGACTGTCCTTCTTTTGAAACCAAATATCTCTATAAACCTCTATAAAAATATAAAATTATTTCATGACCAGGGGCGGACTGACCATTCGATCACTCGGTCACTGCCCGAGGGCCGGGGTCAGTAGGGGGCCTCATGAAATACCCCTGGTACCTTTTTATAGGCTTTTATTAGTGTGGGCAAGGACACAGGGGCCCCATGATCCCCTATTGCCCGGGGGCCCCATGAGTTGTCAGAATGCCCCTGTTCATGACCATAAGTGTTCTACTCTGGGTTTTTGTTCAGTGGGAACATGGCAGTACGTAATTCCAGCACCTCCAGCACTAAATGCATGTACTGGTAAGGGGTGCTTGCTGAAGTGTCTATTGATGCTGGAGGCGTTATTGTTGCTGGGGGGGGGTTATTGTTGCTGTGGATGATCTACTGTTGTGGGGAGTCTCTTGTGCGGGGGTCTTTTGTTGCTGCTGGTGTCTCTGGTTGCTGCAGTGCATCTACTGTTGTGAGAGGTCTATTGTTGCTGGTGGGGGGCTTTATTGGGGTATCTATTGTTGCTGAGGGGTCTATTGCTGCTGCAAAGGATCCTCTGTTGCTAGGGTGGATCTTTTGTTGTTTGCTGGTGGGAGATCTATTGTTTCTGGGGGGTGTGGGGGTTTATTGTTGCTGGTAGGGTCTTTTGTTGCTGGGGGGGGGTGTAGATTGTTGCTGCAGAGGATCTAATGTTTATTATTGCTGGAGTGATGGGGGATTTTATTACTGCAGGTGGGTGTGGGGGTCTTTTGATGCTGGGGTTGTCTATTGTTGCTGCTGAGGATCTACTGTTGTGTATGGTTTATTGTTGCTGGTGGGGGATATTTGTGCTAGATGGTGTCTATAGCTGCTGTGGATCTTCTGTTGCCGGGGTGGATCTATTGTTGCTGCAGAGGATATTTTTTTCCTGGGGAGGTGTCTATTGTTTCTTGCTTCAGGGGATCTAATTTAACTAATTCCATAAAAATTACTTAGCATCACAAAATATTACTATCCTGTTATCCTATTCTAAACCTTTCCTCCAACCTTCAAACTAACAAACCTATTTTGAAATTTTTTAAAGAAAAAAAAAATTCCGGGAAAAAAAACAAATGTGTGTTAAATGTCCAAAAAATATGCAGTCAATTACAAATATATCAGTGAAATATGTCCATGGGGGCATCATCCTAATTAAAACAATTGGAAAAAAATATATAGTATGTAAAAGGACTTTAAATGTGCCACCCAGGAATTATTTACTGATCACAATTAAAATTAGTAACAATTAAAGAAAAATTAGCTTTTATTATATGCAATTTTTTTTAATTATTCCCTCCTTTCCTTCACATTCCTCCTCTTTATTAGGTGGTGGTGGACAGTGGATTGTATGTATACTTTTGCAATTATATTGTTATTTTTTTGTAGACGGATCTTGATTTCAATACTTACCTGAAAGCATATTTTTCAATCCTGAAGAAGCTGGGTTAATGCAAAATGCACAAACTGAGCTAGATACAATATATTGGGCTTTCTGTGGCTTTAAAAAATGTTTTTTGTTACCAATAAGAAGATCCTTTTTACTAATTTTTATGTATTTTGTGTTATTTTAAGACTGGGTATACAGTAAAGGGCATTTATTAAAATTGATACTAATTGTAAGTATGCACTTTTATTGTATACGAAAATCTTGAAATACCACCCAATACATACAAATGTAAAAGGATCTTCTTAGTGGCAACAAAGAACAATACAAGTGCATACTTACAATTAGTATCAATTTTAAAAATTTACTTTAATTGTATACAAAATCCTAAAATACCACCACATACATTACAAAATTAGTAAAAAGCATCTTCTTATTGGCAACAAATAACATATCTTTTAAACCACAGAAAGACCAGTACATTGTATCAAGCTCGGTCTATGTGTTTCACAGTAATTCTGCTTCTTAAGGACTGAAAAATATTATTTCATGTGAATATTGATGGTAAGTCAAGATCCAATTACAAAAAAAATAGCAAATTACAAAAATATACATTAAAAATCCACTGTCCTCCACCAACTAATAAAGTGGAGAAATGTAAAGAAAGGAAGGGGAGGGAATCAAAAAAAAAAATTGTATATTAACTGTAATTATATTCAATGAATAATTCCTGGGGAGCATAATTAAAGTTTTTTTTACATGTATATATATATATATATATATATATATATATATATATATATAATTTTGGTATTTTTTTTTACAAATGTGTGCTTGCCAATAATTTTTCTGTAAAAAAAAAATGGCATTTCTCATGTATGTATCCTCAGTGGGGCGTTCCACCCTCAATGCACACTAGAACAAAGCCAGTTACCTCCGATCCACATAAATGACAGGTGCTCTTTATAATTGGTACACCTTTGGCTTTGGATTTTCCAAGTAGCTGATAAATGACTATATATATATATATATATATAATATATATATATATATATATATATTATCTATATAGAAAACAAAAAATATATATATATATCTTTTATATTTTAATTTTGTTTACAAATGTGAGTTTACCAAAAAAATAGCAAAATTACAAAAATATACATTAAAAATTCACTGTCCTCCACCACCTAATAAGGAGGAAAATGTAAAGAAAGAGAGGGGAGGGAATCCAAAAAACAATTGTATATTAACTATAATTATATTCAATGAATAATTCCTGGGGAGCATAATTAAAGTTTTCTACATATATATATATATATATATATATATATATATATATATATATAATTTTGGTATATTTGTATTTTTTTTACAAATGTGTGTTTACCAATAATTTTTCTGTAAAAAAAAAAAATGGTATTCCTTATGTATGTATCCTCAGTGGGGCGTTCCACCGTCAATGCACACTAGAACAAAGCCAGTTACCGCCGACCCACATAAATGACAGGTGCTCTTTATAATTGGTACACCTTTGGATTTTCCAAGTAGCTGATAAATGACTATATATATATATATATATATATATATATATATATATATATAAAACAAAAAAAAAATATATATCTTTTATATTTTAATTTTGTTTACAAATGTGTGTTTACCAAAAAAATAGCAAAATTACAAAAATATACATTAAAAATTCACTGTCCTCCACCACCTAATATGGAGGAAAATGTAAAGAAAGGGAGGGGAGGGAATCCAAAAAAAACAATTGTATATTAACTATAATTATATTCAATGAATAATTCCTGGGGGAGCATAATTAAAGTTTTCTATATATATATATATATATATATATATATATATATATATATATAATTTTGGTATATTTGTATTTTTTTTACAAATGTGTGTTTACCAATAATTTTTCTGTAAAAAAAAATGGTATTCCTTATGTATGTATCCTCAGCGGGGCGTTCCACCGTCAATGCACACTAGAACAAAGCCAGTTACCGCCGACCCACATAAATGACAGGTGCTCTTTATAATTGGTACACCTTTGGATTTTCTAAGTAGCTGATAAATGACTATATATATATATATATATATATATATATATATATTATATGTATTTTAATTTTGTTTACAAATGTGTGTTTACCCAAAAAAAATAGAAAAATTACAAAAATACACACTAAAAATCCACTGTCCTCCACCACCTAATAAAGAGAAGGAATGTAAAGAAAGAGAGGGGAGGGACTCAAAAACAAAATAATTGTATATTAATTGTAAATATATTCAATGAATAATTCCTGGGGATCATAATTAAAGTTCTTTATGCACATTTATATATATATATATTTTTTTTTTTTGTACAAATGTGTATTTACCGAAAAAAATTTTGGAAAAAAAAATGGTAATCCTTATGTATGTATCCTCAATGCACACTAGAACAAAGCCAGTTACCTCCTACCCACATAAATGACAGGTGCTCTTTATAATTGGCACACCTTTGGATTTTCTAAGTAGCTGATCAATGACTATAAACGCTGCATCCATACAGACTGGAATCAATAATTCAAGAGCTCTGTAACATTCACATAATCGCGCTCTCAAGTGGCTTGCAAAATAACGCAGGAGTAATGACATCTCAGCTCGGCACTTACAAGTCATTCATATACATGTTACACTCGGCG